GGTTTCAAATTCCACTAGGATGACCTGGGTACCATATTATTCTCCCCATAGGATGCTCCAGAACATCATTTGGAAAGAATCCAAGCATGTGCCTCTTCAAGTGTTTCAGCTTTCTTCCAAGTTAACAGCAAAGGTCCATGGGAAGCAATGCCCTTTATATTGTTTGCCAACCTTGGTCTTTCTTCTTATTTTCTCAGAGTTTGAGCCATCTTAGGAAAGAGAAAACACTCTATTCCAATCCTCTGTGAGCTTCAGTCTTGGTTTTGAGAAAGGACTCTGGTTCTCATTTTGTGGGAAGTAGTTTGTTGAATAGTTATTGACTATGTGAAATAAGAGGCACATGTTAAGAGCATGTTCTTTTCTAACTGCCGTGCTGAGAAATTTATGGTACAAAATTCCTTTTTTAAAAAAAAAAGAACTCTTATGAAGATGCTGTGGTTTAAATATGGTCTATCCCCTCAAAAACACAGGTTGGATTTTTTTGTTATTGTGTTGGAAGGGAGGGGGGTCTCTCAATATACGATTAGCTGGTTATGACAGATCAGCCTGGTGTGGTGACTTACACCTGTAATCTCAGCTGTTAAGAGGCTGCTTCTCCCAAGCAAGAAGTTCATGGTTCCCCATCTCAACCAGTAAAAAGCTGGGTGCATACCTGCTGCTCCTGATACATAGGAAACAACACAGGAGGATCATGTTCCAGGATAGACCAGGAGCAAAACCAGACTCTGTTCAAAAAACATCAAAAGCAAAAAGGGTCAGAGCCATACCTCAAGTAGCAGAGTCCCTGACAAACACACAAGGTCTTAAATTCAAACCCCAAGTGCTAATAGTGGTTGGGGTTGAGGGGAGATGCCTTTCTCGCCAATGTTTGAGGTCTTGCTCTCCCAGAACTGAATTACTCTGAAAGCAGATTGTTAGACTAATAACGCACATCTATTTGCCCTCTCGCTTTCTACTGTGTTTTATTGCCATTGACAACACAGTGGTGGCTTTGACTCTGGGGTCTATAGAACCATGAGCCATAGGAAACTTGTTTCTTTTATGAACTACCCAATTGCTGGCACTTCTGTTACAGCAACAAAAATTGGTCTAAGAGAGATGTGTTTATATCACTAGCCCCATTTTACATGTAAAGAAACAAAAAAAATTATAGAAAATGGGGAAGTAGCAGTGCCAGGATTCAAACACATGCGTGTTAGCCTCGATCTTTTAGTGAGCACTCTGGTGACCCATCTTAGTTTTCCATGATTTAAAATAAAGATTGGCAAATCATTTCTGCAAAGAGACAAGGAATAAATACTTCAGGCTTTGTGGGCCATAGCTTATTTGGTCCTCATTATAATGTAAAGGCAGCTAGCCATAATGATGGCATTTTCACTTTCCTATAAACCTTTCTTTACAACAACAAGGGAGCCATATTGAACTGATGGGCCAAAGCTTGCCAACCTTTAGAGTAGAAGAATCTACATATTTTGGTGCAACTCTTAATAGTTCTTTGCCTATTTCTGAGCACTCCTAAATGATGATGGTAGTCATCAGATCCGTGCTGGTTCATACATGGCCAGTAGGTCTCTACACAAAGAATACCATGCAGGAGTGTTTTTCCATACCTGGATAATTCATCTATGATAGAGACAATTTTGCTGTTGGTGGCCATGGGGCTTGAACTCTGAGCCTGGGCACTGTCCCTGAGCTCTTCAGCTCAAGGTTAGTGCTCTCCCACTTGAGCCACAGCTCCATTTCCAGGTTTTGGTGGTTAATTGGAGATAAGAGTCTCATGGACTTTCCTACCTGGGTTGGCTTTGAACCACTATCCTCAGATCTCAGCCTCCTGAGTAGCTAGGATGACAGGTGTGAGTCACCAGCACCCAGCATATAGACATACTTTTTATAAAGTTGGTTCCATTGCCATTCTCAGGAGTTAGTCTCAATCTCCCCTTCCAGAAAGTTCTTCCCTAACAAAATTTGACTGTATGGATAAAAATTCAAATGAGGAGAGCTAGCCAGCATGATAGAAGGGACTAGGAAATGTAAATTCCTCCAATGGGCCACTTCTCTTCAACCAGTGGTGTTATGTGGGTTCTAGGGGCTCAATGTTGTCACATCATATCCAAAAAGAACCTTGAGAGACTGGGAAGGTGGCTCAGTGGTAGAGCGGTTGCCTCACATGCATGAGGCCCTGGATCCAATGCCTCAGCACCACATAAATAGAAAACGCCAGAAGTGGTACTGAGGCTCAAGTGGCCACGCACTAGTCTTGAGCTGAAGAGCTAAGGGACAGCGCCCAGACCCAGAGTTCAAGCCCCATGACCAAAAAAAAAAAATCTTAAAAACCTTTTGAACATCTGCAGGAAAGTGTGTGTGCAGAGTGTTGTATTTGAGTGCTAGTGATCTTCCAATAAGCACACTGCTGTGTATAAGTGTGTAGTTGCACAGGCAGCTACGGCCCAAGTGTAACCACAAAGAAGTTTTGTATTATTAATAGTGTCCCAAGGCAACTGTCACCTTTAAATAAGGAACCCAATTGGAAATTCATTTATAAATATTTGGCCCATTTTTGAAGAAAAAAATATGTTGGTAGCCTGCATTGTTCATGAGGCCCTTGGCACATTAGAAGATAATCTCAACATACAGGTGTTGGATGTAAACACATCTTGATACTAGACACCAGGCAGGGTCAAGCCTGACCTATCTCCAGGACACCCAGAACCCAGAAAGAATTATATGTTGCTTTGAAAGTCTTCAGAGTTTTCCTTTATGATGACTCCTCCTTGTGTTACTTCCATTAACACTTAGATGGGCGCATTGAGGGAAAGTTTAAATGTACTACATTTTAACTTCTTCTCTATGGAATCTCTCTGTGAAATCTGTTACAAAATGCTGAAATGACCCATTGTAACAACGAGATGTACAAGACACTATGTTAAAAATGAACTTTACAATTTTTCGGGGGGCGGGGTAGGGGGAAGGAAAAGGATGGTAGGAGAAAAACAAAGGAGGGGGTAACAATGCTCGATAGGAAATGGACTCATTACCTTACTCATGTAACTGTAACCCCTCTGTACAGTATCTTTACAATAATATATATATATTGAAAAAAGAATAAGCAACACAAAATTTAAAAAAGAAAAAAGAAATCTAACTGTTCCTAAGGATGTCTCAGAGAGTGAGAGAGTGGATCTGTTTGTATGAAATAGAGAAGGTTGTCATTAAGTTAGGGTTGTCTTGAGAAGGCTCATTAAATGTTTATCGGAGTTAAATGTGTGAACATCCATTGTTTTTCCTTCCATATAAAGGTATCTATAGTTTTGAAGAGCACTGTGGACATGAAGAAGAGCTATAAAATCTGTGCGATGACTGGTACAGTTAGAGAGACCCAGGCTACATCTACACTACTAGGGGAGCAGTTGTGTGGTTTAAGATATAAAGAATCGAGTATGTCCCGAGCGTCGCAGCCAGAGAGAGCCTAACGCGACTCATATCCTCACAACCCTCTTGGCATCTTTATTTCAAATTCTGCAAAAGTACAGGAGAGGAATAGGAATGATCACATTAAAATGCTTCTCAAAGAAAGCCCCATTTCAGGAGTCCCTTTTGACTAGGTAAAATAGTATGCTTTGAAGCAATATTGGGTGAAATGGCAGCTTGGAAACCTGCCATTTTCCCAAATGGAGCATTTATTCCCTGCAAGTCGTTTACTCCCTAAAAATGTTCCTCAAGGTGAAGTCTTTGTTGCTTGATTATATTTCATGTACAAGATCTGATGTGCAAGCCAGACACTAAGGCATTGTTTCATGTACTACAATAGCTCCTTATATTTTTTTAAGTCTCTGACAGTGGAAAAAAAAAAACCTTACCCAAAAGTAGCTGAATATATCCCTAACACATCAAGAATGAGATTAACCTAACAGATCTTCACTAGATTTTTTTGAATGCTCAATGTTACACAGGTTGGGAAGAGAAACAAAACCAGTAACATAAGTACCAATTTTGTCATATAGTTATATTCCCCAAACATAAGTGTTACTTCACAAATGACTTGTTTTATGTATTTATAAATCTTCAAGCATAGGATGTTTAGCACCAAATCTTAAGATATAACATTAGCATATAAACTAATATGCCATCGACAGAATAATTTTTTAACTTATACTATTGTAACAATTCTGGTAGGCATTCAGCAAGTCAAATAGAAAACTTCGGGGAACAGGTGGACCATGATTCTTTTTCTATTCCTTCTGGAAAAATCAAATCAAATCATTATTATAATATTGATTTCTTCCTTAATAATTGTAAAAGGACTAATATTAGTAATAAACAGTTTTTGGCTGTATGTGTGTGTGTGTGTATGTGTGTGTGTGTGTGTGTGTGTGTGTGTGTGTGTGTGTATATATATATATATGTTTCTGCCTGTTTGTCTGTCTGTGTTAGTCTATATGTCTGTGTGTGCCAATCTGGAGGCTTAAACTCAAGGCCGAGGCACTGTCTCTGACCTTTTGTGCTCAAAAGGTGCTCTACCACCTGAGCCACAGCTCCACTGCCAGATGTTTTTTGGTGGTTAATTGGAAATAAAAGTCTCATGGAGTTTCCTGTTCCTGCTGGCTTTGAATCACAATTCTTAGATCTCAACCTTGTAACCTTGTAATCTCAGGATTACAAGCATGAGCTACCAGCACCTGGCATTTTTTTGGCATTTTTGAACATTCGTTTACACTGACATGTATATTAACATGCATGACAAAAGCCATGAAATCATTGAACCAAAGTGAGGGAAGGTGACTGCAGGTTTACTTACGTTGAAGGAAGTCAGGGAAGTGTCAAGTGAGGAGGGAAAGAACTAAGTCAAGATGAAAGCAATGATCATGTACAAATTCTGCATTTAAAGACTTCTCCTGAGTAGGAGCTAACAAATTATTTTCTTAGAACTGACAATAAGCTGGTTATAAGAATCACCCTTTAATGGTTTACCAACGTGACTTTATCCCAACATGTTTTATTTCCTTAGTGTGTGTGTCACAATAGAGCTTTGGTTATGAAACACTGCAGCCAATTTGCTTCCTTGGAACTCAAGAGCATTGGGCATGGCGGGGGGAGTAGCCTCTTTTTAATTTCTGCTAACCTGTCAATGAAACTTCAGTAAACTTTTTTTTAATTCTCAAAAGTAAAAGTACAAATGTGCACCAAGGAACCCCAGTGAAACCTTCTGTTCTTCGTGGTTCATAAAATAAATATTCTTCGCTGCTTCCCTGGGGTTTAGTACTCAACCTCTGTAATTATGTTTTCCAGAAGCTTTTGTTATTTAGACCTCCTTAAAACCACTTTCATACAATGGCTAAAAGAAAAGCTGAAAGAAGAACCCTATGAAACATATGTCCCTGTCCCTTGATAAAGGCAGAAAAAGAAACTGAAGACCGAAATGTTCCTCGTGTTCAGTTTTGACATCTCTGCTTCCCCAGGGATTTCTTAGAGGTATTTCCTTTGGAATCCAGATAAAACTTGAACCGTGTGGCAGCTAGTGGTTGTATTTCTCCGTAATCAAATCATGAAGCAAAGAGGGCAGCTGGGTGGATGCCACTTCTCATGGTGCACAAACTACAAACGTGAATTTGCTGAAAGCCAAGACAATTTCCTGCCTGGATGGTGTTCTACACCAGACAGGTCTGTATCCCAACGCCTCTCGAGGATAAAGCACGTCTCTCTCTGTCTCTTTCTCTCTCTCTGCTACCGTGTCACCTAAAAAAAAACAAATTAAGTGAGTGAGTATTCTAACCCCAACAACAAAAAAAAAACCCTTTCTGCCATGAGAACCATATAGTCCTTATCTGTGTCATTTGTATGTAGTTTATCAGTAACCAGCTACAGCAAATTGACTCTTCATGATTTGCTGACTGCTCTTGGTTTGTGTGTTGGTCTTGCAGCTTGAACTCAGGACATTGTCCCTGAGCTTCTTTTCTTCGAAGCTAGCACTCTACCACTTTCAGCCACTGCTCCACTTTCTGGACCTTTTTGGGGGGAGAGGGGATTTGAGGATGCTTCATTAGAGTTACGGTGTAAAGGCAGAGTTGAGTACTCGCTACAATGACTTTCAGTCCACAGAGCTAATAAGATGACTCAATTTCATCTTTACAGAGAAGCCATTTCAGCTTCTGCCCAAGAGCAGACACATGACCATGCTACAAAATAATTCAATCTGTTTTTAATTTTTGTGTATGTGCTGGTACTGGGGCTTGAACTCAAGGCCTGGACACTGTCCCTTAGTAGTAGTAGTTGTTTATCAAGGCTGGTTCTCTATCAATTGAGCCATAGCTCCACTTGACTTTTTGCTCATTATTTGGAGATAAGAGTCTCATGGACTTTTTCCCCACCTAAGCTGACTTCAGAAGGCAATTCTCAGACCTCAGCCTTCTGAGTAGCAAAGATTATAGGTGTGAGACACTGGTGCCCAGCAATTTTGAAAATATTTTCATAGATGTATTGTAATATTATGCTATTTTTGTTGCTTGAGCTACTGTATTAACTAATCTGAGAACTTTTCTCATCTCCTACCATAAGCCTACATCTTTAAAGCTGCAAAATTCAACCCTTCTCCATGGATTATAGAGTTCCACTCCATACAATAGACTTTCTAAAGTAACTTTCACTTTTAAAAGTGGATTAAATGCATTAGAAAGGTACATTTTGATCACCATGTACAATGATTTTAATCAGTATTCCTTCGGAAAACTCCGCAGTGCTATTAACAAAGTGTGCTCAGCATGAATCAATGAACATACCTAATCTTGTGGGATTTCTATAACCTCACCAAATACAAAGCCAGGTGCCTAATTCTTCACTCTGAGAGCCTTTGGGCATGTTTTCCTTTGCAATCCGAAAACAAGAAAGAGGTAAGAGTCTCACAGACTTTCCTAACTGGTCTGGCTTCGAGCTGCAGTCCTCAACTCTCAGCCTCCTGAGTATCTAAGATTACAGGCATGAGCCTCCAGTGTTCTGCAATCACTGCTATTTCTGAGGAAGGGGGTAAGGACAGATAAATGAATATGTGAGAAGATAATATGAGGATGTAAATTAAACAAACAAACAAGGCCAACGGAAAGATCAATGGCCTGAGCATCTAGTGGTGAGGTTGAAATGGACACATTGTATCTCCTTGCTTAGATGTCATGGGTACAAACCAGAGATGAAAGCATCTGTCTGCTTTGGCTGGAGCGAAGGAAATACACGAATTGAATTGCATGGCTCAGTGCCTGTCGTATAGAGAGCACCCAGGAAATGGTAGTTATTTCATGTTTGCTGCTTCTAGCTGGATTGTGCATCTGTATATATCCTAAAAGCATTTACAGCCAGGTATCAATCTCGACACCCTAGGGTGTAATTTTCAAAAAATATTTCATCTGAGGTGGCTCATTTTGTGTGTCCCACTCATTTCAGAAAACAAGGCCATGAGTGAGATAAGATGCTTTCTGATTTATTTTCCTTCAAAATTATTACTATGCCTACTACATATGGATGATTTCCTTGCTATTTCTGAATTTTGATGGATGCAGGGTTACTAACGTGCCAAAACAATCTCTACTCCCCTGAAGATTGTGCCCTGACCCTAAGGGTCAGGGAAGATAATGCCTTAGGGCAAAGGCCTCCGACAAGCAAGAGGAATTTTAGACGAGAATGAAGCGCAACAACATCATAGAATGGGCATAGGCTAAGAGGTAACTGACAGAGAGGTCGGTACAAGGCGATTATACTGTGTGGCAGTGACTAATGGATGTCCATTGGTGATACCTCATCGGGGAAGGAAATAAGGAGGAAGAAAAGGATAAAAGCCCAGCAGGGTACCAGCAGGTGGGAGAGTGGGTAGATTAGTAGCTTCCTCATATTGCCCATTTGCCACAATCCTAAAGACATGTTTTTTTCAGCACTAGAGATTGAACTCAGAACCTCCTGCCTGCTAGGCAGGTGCCCTATCCATTGAGCTATGCCACGGGCATCAGTTATTTTCGAAGCAGGGTCTTGCCTGATGCCCAGGCTGATCACTATGCCCCAGTCATTGATTGATTTGAAGTCTCCCAAACTTTTTAAACCTGGGCTGGCCTTCAAGTTCAATCCTCAGTCTCTGCCTCCCAAGTAGTTGGGATGACAGTCTTGAGCCATTGCACCTGGCCTCTTTAGGACATTTTAAAGCATGTTTGCTCAGCACCATGCCAGATTTAACACAGCTTGTGTTATTAACAAATCCTTATGATGAGTGTCCTGTAACCATGACACCATGAAATTATTATTACAAAGACCCATGGCAGGACTCCAGGAGACAGAGAGAAAAAGGCACCAATTAAGGAGCCACTTGAGGAAGATACTAGATAGGACTTGAGATGTGAAGGACAGTTAAAGAGAAAACTTGCTTGTTTAAACTTGTGTTTGAGTTATGTTTAAGGCTCTGTTTGTGTCTCTGTTCTTACTTAGGTTCATCTCAAAGGCTAATGCTCTTATATAATCCATCAGAGATAAACAACATCGAAGTGTCCTGAAGTTTGAGAAAATTTATGTTGCTTCCATTCCTAACTCATTTCTCTTAGAGTTTCCAAAGAAATACAGGAAACTTTGTAGACATGTATTAGAAAATCTGAAGAACAAAATAAAGTGAAAGAATCAGATAGGAAGCTTGCAAAGAAATAATTTTTTTAGATAGCCTTGGGAAGTATTGCCATTTTCACGATGCTGATCCTTCCAATCCAGGAGCATGGGAGGTTTTTCTACTTTCTAAGTTCTGCTTTGATTTCCTTTTTCAGGGTTTTAAAGTTTTCATTGTAGAGGTCCTTCACTTCTTTGGTCAAGTTAATTCTTAGGTATTTTATTTTTTTGTGGGGCTATTACGAATGGAGTTGCTTTCCTGATTTCAGCCACACTTTTCTCATTGTTGGCATACAGAAAAGCCATTGATTTTTGAGGGTTAATTTTATACCCTGCTACTTTGCCAAAGTTTTGAATCCGCTCGAGTAATTTGGGAGTGGAGTGCATGGGATTCTTTAAATACAAGATCATGTCATCTGCAAAGAGGGAGAGTTTTACTTCATCTATCCCTATTTGGCATATCCCTTTTATGTTGGCATCTTGTCTTATTGCTATATCTAGGCATTCTAATACTAAATTGAAGAGAAGTGGAGAGAGTGGACATCCTTGTCTCATTCCTGAGCTGATAAGAAATGTACTCATTACCTTGCTAGTGTAATTTTAACCCCTCTGTATGGTATTTTCACAATTAAGAAAAAACTTATTATTTAAAAAAAAGAAATATTTTTTTTAAAAAAAGTTAATACACAATTCTCTAAGCACTCATTTCTCAATCTGGTCACTACTAACATTTGGAGTAAAGTAATTCTTCACTTGGGGTAAAACTATCCCCATGGTTAAGAAGATCTGATTCCCAGCATTCTCTCTCCACCTCAGTGTGGGACAACACAAAAATGTTGTCACATATAGCCAAATGTCCACTCTGGAGAAAACTAGAGTAGTCGGGAATGACTACTCTAAATGCATACACCTTCCCCCTTAGTAGTGGTTTTAAAGAACAGGATTGTTAACACAGAATTTCTCCAGATTTAACAATTTTGCATCTTTTGTGAAACAGCAACAAAAAAAAAATGCCCTCACCAATGCTTGGTTTTATTGCTGAGAAGAAACACACAGAATCAGCACAGGGAAATTCAGAAAAGGAGATTTGAGGCAGGATTTAGATTTTTCCCACCAGAAGTAGTGGCTGCATTGTCTCTGGAGACCCTGAACAACTTACTTACAGGTAGAATAATCTCCATGGTATTCTTTTGTACCTGAGAAAGATAGCTGCTTAGAGAATTGCCTATTCTCTTATTTTCATATCTTCATCTGAGACCATTAATATCTCAAGTTGAGTGCTAACTCTTTTCCTATTTGCATTTAAATGGAAAATAAATATTCTGACATAGGTGGCTTGCTGGGAGAGCTCTGACTTTTCTTTGTTAGCCTTTCTGCGGTTTTTATGCCATTGTGCACGTACTCTTTAAGGAAACTATTTTTGTAACAGGCTTATATCTCCTCCAGAGAGGTAGTTGCTCCATCTTTATAGTCCTGCCTTCTCTCCTCAGGTATAAGGGTCAAGGTGGATTTCCCAACAAATATACAGCTTCTAGAATGCCATCCACCCCTTGGAAAGCAGTCTAGGCTCCACAAATGAATTTACTCTATGTGCAGATGATCCAAAACAGACATAAAATGTTTTATGTGGTTCAAGTCACATTGACTTGGATTCATAAAGTAAACAACGTTTTATGGCTTCAAGATTATTCTAGGGTGGCATATTACTAGGGGGAAGGAAAAATAGCAGTCCAAGTATCATGATGGCCTGGGGAACTGTATTATGTTGTACAACTTTTCCGTGCACTAAATAAAATGTCACTACCATTGAGGATTTAGCTACAGCAAACATATCCCCAAAACCCAGAGCCAAAGTGCCCCTAAAGGTTTGCGTCTTGCTAATTCCCTCTCTAGCTACTTATAGAAAGAAAGGCAAAAAACTGAGCTATCAAGAGAGCCACTTAGATGCATTCTTTTCTAGAACACAGTTGACTTCTGCTCACGGTGTTGTTTACATTTATAGCTATAAATCAATATAAATTTAATCTTTCAAAATGTTATTCCTTGGTCCAAGAAATACAATAAAAGAAATTTTTTATCACTGATAGATATTATCTAAGAGCTTACCTCACTGGAGACTTTAATAATTTTATTTGGAAAGGACTTAGAAGAAAATGACTAGAAGGAACCAGAAGCAGGGATAGAATAATCTTGAGGCTGGGGGCTGGGAAGATGGCTCAGTGGTAGAGCGCTGCCTTGCATGCCTGAGGCCCTGGGTTCAATTCCCAGCACCACATAAGCAAAAAGAAAAAAGCTGGAAGTGGTGCTGTGGCTCAAGTGGTAGAGCGTTAGCCTTGAGCTGAAGAGCTGAGGGACAGCACCCAGACCCAGAGTTCAGGCCCCACGACCGGACCCAAAAAACAAAACAAAAGAATAATCTTGAGGCTGGTATTTCTTGCAAACATGCTGGGTATGTAGCATGGGAGTTCCTGGAGATTGGTTTAGCTGGACATTGGGTAGAGATGAGGGGAGTGTTAATAATCTCCTTGCTAAATACTTCCATGATTTCCACTTCCCTGGGCAAAAAAGTACACTGCTGTCCCTTGGTATTCATAGAGAACTGGTTCCAGGATTCTCCAAAATCTATATAAGCTCAAGTTCTTTCTATAAAGGGACATTGTAGTTACATGTAATCTACATACATGCTCCTGAATATTTTCAATCATTGCAAGATGACGTATGCCAAATACAAGTGCTATAGAAATCGTTTGATAGAATATCATTCAGGGAAAGTAAAATCTGGACAAGTTGATTTGCATTTGGACAGATGCAATCTTTGCTATGAATGCCTTTTATTCATGATTGTTCAAGAATTTGGGGTCTGACATTATAGGAAAAGTTTGTTGATAAGCACAAATGTTGAAAATGATGTAGGGCTTTGACTAGACAATAAGGAACTAATTGATTGACTTCCTATTCCAGTGACTATGTTGGATATAAAATATCAGCTAAAAATTTCATTTAAGTAGAAATTCATTTTATATTTTGCATTTTATTGTATTAGCAGCACTATATCTACATACAAATTACACATTTAGGATTTGGTTTTAACTGGCCTGCATTGGACTTTGGTGGTAGAAAGTGAATGAGAACTTTTAGTGTTTATTGTTGCAAAATATTCATAAAGGGAAAGACATAGGAAAGGTAAGAAGCTGGTCACTGTTTATCATATTCCTCAGGGGAAAAGCTCAGAAAGCAATCAGAACCCAAGAGTTTCTCTAGTTCAATATGCCCAACTCAAATAATCTCAAAATGAACTTTGTCATTAATTTCTCTCCAAGTACTAGCTACTATGAAGCTTTCAATTGGCACTAGGCTGATCAAGATAAATAGATAGACAGATGCCAGTTCCACCATTATACAGAAAGCTAGGAGTAAGAGGAAAAAGTCTACTCGGGAAAGAACAAGAGAAGGATACAGTCTAAAGTGCATCATTGGAAACTCATCATAGAGAGGTCCAGGGGCCATTAGATCAGAAAGGCTGGCGGCAGGCCAAAGAGCCAATGAAAACTACTGGAAAATTTGTAACGGTAGGACTGATATCTCAAAAAAAAAACTATTATACTCCTCATCTAGAGTTTGGACTGGAAAAAGATTAACTTAAACCAACCAAGATGGCAGATGACCTTGGAAGTTCCAAGTTGGGATGAACAGCCACAAAAGGATTTAGTAATTAAAAAAAAAAAAATCCCAAGGATAAAGTAATCAAGTGGTTCACAGTTGGCTTTCTAGCTGAAGGACTGTGTAGCTAATGGTACCTGTCGGACATAAGGAGAACCAGAAAGGGGAAGAAAACTGTTGACTTCGCACAGTTGAAGGCTCCCATCCTGAGTCTCACATCTCCTTTAAGACAACAGGTATTTCTAGTTGAGTAAATCATCTCTGTGTGGATTCTTGCCAGGGTGTTTTGAAACACTGTTCTGTCAACTCTGAAACTCCTACATTAAATCAGACTCATGAAGAAGCACAACGAATTTAATGTCCCTGCCTCAAACAAGAGTTTACTCACCAAATCATCACTCTATAAAACCTGATAGGGCTTTATGGGCAGGGGGCCAAGGGAAGGAATGAGTTTTTCTGAAAGGCTAAAACCGTAAGGTGGCACTTCCCCAGCAGGCTTATCAACACAAAATAATGTTTTCTTTGGATGGCAGAATAAAATCAAGGTGGGAACCCCTCCCCCCCCACCACACACACAAGAAACAATGTACTGCAGTTGTAACTACAGCTGTATGTGGTCCATACTTGCCTTTGTGGTTTTGACTTTATTGCCACTGCTGCAGGACCAACCTGAGTAATCTGGCAGCACCTTACAGTCCTCACCCTCCAAGCAGGGTTCCATGTGACACCACCATTTCTGAATCACAATGGAGGCTGGAAAACAAAGACCAAATCGTGACTCTGAGTCTTCCTCCACTGAGAGACCCAAACAAAGGTCAACACAGCTGGAGTTACTTTGACCTAAATAAATTAAAAGAATACACTCAGCCACATTCTACAAAGTATTTCCTCTTCACAGTTGGCTGCCTGTTTATTACACAATTGGTGGGAGCTAAAGCTGTGTGCAAGGCTTGTGGGGTTTGACTCTAGTTGGGCTACTGTGTGTGTGTGTGTGTGTGTGTGTGTGTGTGTGTGTGTGTGTGTGTGTGTGTGTGTGTGTGTGTGTGTGTGTGTGTAATTACATGAAGGGCTGGGAAGGTGGCTCAGTGGTAGAGTGCTTGCCTCTCATGCATGAGACCCTGGGTTCGATTCCTCAGCACCACATAAGCAGAAAAAAGCCGGAATTAGTGGTGTGGCTCAAGTGGTAGGGCACTAGTCTTTTGCTGAAGAGTTGAGGGACAATGCCCAGGGCCAGAGTTCAGCCTCCCACAACCGACAAAAAAAATTACATGCAACTAACTTTCCTTAACTTCAATTTCTTCAATAAAGGAACTGATAAAAATAGATACATGCTTCAGTGGTTGGACATCTGTATACCTTCTTTGAGCAAAATGTGGACTCAGGTTATTATCATTATTATCAGTAGTAGTAGTAGTAGTAGTAGTAGTAGTAGTAGTAGTAGTTTGGTTGGGGAACAAGACTAGGGTTTGAACTCAAGATCTTGCACTTGCTATGCAAGGGATCTATCACTTGAGCCACATACACCAGCCATTTTTCCTTTAGGTAATTTTTTCACATAGAGTCTTGATGCTTTTTGTTGTGTCCAACCTCAAAATGAAATCCTCTTAATCTGTGCCTCCCAAATACCTGGGGTTACCAGGTAAACCGGAGTGCCTGGCTTCCAGTGCCTATATTTTAAGATTAGGTTTTAGGGTTTTGCTGTTAAGTTTTTTGAGTATATTTTGAGTATAAACCCTTTAAAGAACTATGATTTGTAAATACTTTCTCCCATTCTTTCCATTTTCTGCTGTGCTGATGCTCTTTCGTTTAGCACACTTTCGCTTCTTTTACTTTTGTTGCATGTGCTGTAGGTACCATATGCAAAAGAAAACATGGCCAACACAAAGACCCAGAACTTTTTCCCTATGATTTCTTTTAGGAATTTCACCGTTTCAAGGATGACATCTAAGTCTTTGACCAGTTTTGCATTATTCTATGTATATGATGTAAGATACAGATCCAATTTCATTCTTTTGCATGTGGATAATGACTTTTCCTAGCAGCATTTATGGAAGAGATGAATTGTCTTACATTTTGTCATGGCTTGAAGGTAAATACATTGGTTTATTTCTGGACTGTCACTTTTGATGCTGAACCCATTCTGTTTTGATTACTGTAGCTTTGTAACGTAGTTTGTTTTAGAGATTGGTATCTCTAGCTTTGTTCTTCTTGCTCAAAATTCCTTTACCCACTTAGATTCTTTTGTGGTTCACATAGAATCTGTGAACATAGATATCTTGTCATTTTCATTTTACAAACGATCCACCTCCTTGGTTAGACTTATTCCAAAGTGTGTTATTCATTTTTATTGTATCTTAAAGGGGATCTTTTTAACTCTTTTTCCAATACTTGTTTGGTAGTACAGTAAATACATATTTTTTTTTACAACTCATCTTTGTATTTTGAATTTGTATCTGGAAACTTTACTGAATTCAATAGCAACAGCTCTTGAATGCTTCCAACACAGCAATGAGAAAAGAACACTTACAATCTCATTTTATGAAACCAGCATTAGTCTCCTAACAATGTCAGACAGAAAGCTACAAGAAAAGAAAAATTACAGGCCAATATCTCCACTAGATATAAGTATAACCCTTGACAAAATACCAGCAAGTCAACTTTAATGGGATGTCAGAAGAATTATGTACCACAATCTTATAGGATTTATCTGTGGGATATAGAAGATGGTTCAACACATGCAATTAATATGATCTATTCCATTAACAGAATAAAATGATAAAAAAAAATCGTGATCATTTCAACAGATGCATAGAAAGAATTCAATAAAACTGAAAAGCCTTTCATGTCTCTTAACAAATTAGGGATAGAAGGAATGTGCTTCAGCATACTAAAAGCTGGTGTGTGGCAAGCCACAGCTAACTTCATACTGACAGTGACAAGCTCAAAGCTCTGTGAAAGAGCAAGATGGTCCACTCTACCCACTTCAAAGCAACCTAGTCAAAGGAAGTCCTAACTAGAGCAATTAGGGAAGAGGAAGAAATAACAAAGCATCCAACATGGAAAGCAAGTAGTTAATTATTCTCTACAGAGAGCATGACATCATGTTTCCTTTCCAGAAAAACTCCCGACTGATTTGACCGAGACCACCATTGCCGTGAAATCTGAAAGTCAAGTTCAAGCACAGATCTACAAGTCCTAAGATCATTTTTATCACTGAACACAGGCACCTTGTGAATTGCCTTCCCTATCTTGTCTAATTTAGATTTTACAACAATCCTGAGATTTTATTCTCCTTTCTTTCACACAGATGAAAAACCTGAAATCCAGAGAGGTCTGAAGGGATGCAGGCAAGGTCATGGAGTTCAGAGGCAGTCAAACAAGCATTCAAAGGGAGGCAGTCAGATATGATATGTTAAGCTTTAAACACATACTTCCACCTTTTAACCGCAGCTACTAGCTGATGGTACATATCAACATCACAAGAACTGACTTGGGTACATTACTTGCCTAGACCTAGAAAGGTTTGTTGCCTAATGGGTTACTTGTTTTGTTAAAGACTTACTGAAGTGGAGTTGATGACCACGAAACCCTATAAAAGTTATATATATGTATATATACAAATGTACATATATAGAGACATATATATATATGTATATGTGTGTATATATATATATATATGTATATATATATATATATATATATATATATATATATATATATATATATACAGTCAGTTGTGGGGCTTGAACTACTAGGCCTGGGCATTGTCCCTCAGCTCTTCAGCTCAAGGCCAGTGCTCTACCACTTGAACACAGAGCCACTTCTGGTTTTATGGTGGTTAATTGGAGATAAGGATCTCATGGACTTTCCACATTCCTCAGATCTCAGCCTCCTGAGTAGCTAAGATTACAGGTGTGAGTCACCAGCACCAGGCTTAAATGTTATCTTCTTTTTAGCTGCAAATACCATAACAATTGCATCTTGCAACTAACTGCACAGAGCTGTCTAAATGTCCATCAGATGTAGCAAAAGGTACCAATAGTGCTTCTTGTGAAACTGATATACTAAGAATGAAGTAGTAGAATCTGAAATCTCTTCCTCTCTGCCCACTAACCTTGCTATAACACTACAGCATGCAATAATGTATTTATTGTATAATCAAAATTATAAGTTTATGGGCATGGTATGGCAACTTGATACATGTGTGCAGAATGTAATGGTCAGATCCAAGTGGTGAACATTTCCATCTCATTACACCTTGTGAAAGTTCTTGTTTTACTCATTATTTGTGGGTACAAACTCTGGTACACAGATACTCAGCACTGGGAGCATTCCCATCTCTCCCATGCATGAAGACTTCAGAACCCCCTCTTCTAATAGAATTAATCATTCGGATTGGTAAGTGCTGAGTGGAGCCTTTTTACCCTCCCCATGCTAATCATCATCATTTTTTTAATGCATTGGTTTGGTCCCAAATGGCTATTTCCCAGCCCTCAATTTGAAGTACTGTTCATGAAGCACAGTTATATTTACACATAGTTACAACTGAAGTTAATCCTCTGGGAAGATATAGGACTCAGTGGGACCTTGAAAAGAAGCCTTGAAAGGTGGCTCGTGGTCTGACCAAGAGAAAACACATGGAACAGTGGGTCAGTGAGTGGCCCCTGGGAAAGCCAGCAGATCCAGGTGGCTGGAGACATCATCGCGGAGGCACGGGATAGCCTTCAACGGAGGGGAAATGGGAAGAAACCCGCAGGAGCCCTGGAATCTGCCTGGGTCACATGGTACAGCAGGACAGGGGAAATGATGGTCCAGAAAAAGTAACTTGGAAGTAGATGAACTCACAGCAGAGCTCAGCACAGAAAGAATGCTAAAGAGAAGGCCCATTGAGGGTAAGTGAAATCAGATAGGAGCTGAGGTGGGGCCGGCCGTGGTAGATCAGGGAGGATGGAGCTGGGGGGGGGGGGGGGGCAGGTACAGTGCAAGGCATATCCTTTTCCAATGGTTATCATACAGATTAATGGAATTACTATGATATTTCCCATATGTGTTTCCTGGTGACTGGAGAATGTACATCAATACTCTCTATCTTGGCCCTACAGCCTTCTTAATCCCTTTCATCTACTGCAGGGTAGCTGAGCTGTTTCCACAACTTGGCTATTGTGAGCAGCGCTGCAATGCTTAAGTGCGCAGGTATAGATATTTGAACAATATTGATTCTTCCAACCCACGAACATTCTTTGAAAGAAGTTCTATAGGACAGAAGGAAACATAAGATCAAGTTCTTTTGAACCTGTTTATCAGTTTCCCTTCAGTTTATCAGTTTTCCTTCATTTAACTGAAAAAAAATGGGAGGGTTATTTTTCTTCTAAAGGCAGCTATGCACAACCATCCCCCTTAAATGGCAAGGTGCTCTGAAATTTAAAATAGTTCTGTTTGCACAAAGACGAACAGTCCCTTTTATATTCTTGTGGAAGAGTTCAGTGAGTAAGGTGCCCCAATAACAGATACAATGTTTATTATGAGAAAGAAGTCATAGCAAATGTTCTTTCAGCAAGGAGAGAGGGAACAAGACCCGCCACAATGCCAGCGCCAGATGCCTTTATGAGTTAAATTTGCTGCCAGTCCTTAGACAACCCTTAATAACCACTTGAGGGTTGAACCTGAAGGAAATGAGCCGATTAAACACTGGGAAGTCAAAGCCCCAAGTGCAGACTGACCCAACAAGCTGGAACAAAGGAGGAGGGAAAAAA